AGTTATGCAATTCTTACAACCATTATCTTTGCACTGCACACAGAAACCACAATCTATTGTCTTGTATTGTTGTCAAACATTCATCCAATGATCTCAATGACCACAACAATAACCGAAAACATAAATATATTCCCAAATTTGATGAAACCTTTGACCTTTGGTGGGATCAGCTTATGTCCGATGCGAGTGATGAGTGCGAACCCGTATGGCTGGACGGAGAGGACCCGCTCTTCATTCTGTATACGAGGTTTGGCACAAATATAGACAAAATGTCTTTTGTTTTAATAGGTTTTTTTGCAATTAAAAATGTTTTAGCGGAAGCACTGGTAAACCCAAAGGTGTCGTTCACACAATCGCTGGATATATGCTGACAACTGCTCTGGTCTTCAAATACGCTTTCAATTACAAAGACGGCGACATCTTTTTCTGTACCGCAGACTTGGGTTGGATTACTGGCCACACGGCCAACGTGTACGGCCCGCTGGCCAATGGGGCCACAGCTGTGCTCTTCGACGGTATACCCACTCATCCAAAACGCCTGTCTAAAACCGCATATTAGCTACTCTTGTTTCACTTACGGAAGATATGCCGCGGCTGTCGATAGTCCTGAAATTACTTTAAACCACTGCTAAATCACTGTTTCATACTTTACAGACTTAACAGATTAATCGCATTGGTTGGCGAACCAATCAACCGCGAGGCCTGGCTCTGGCTCTATAACGTTGTGGGCCGTCAACGGTGTGCTATTGTCGACACTTACTTTCAAACAGAAACTGTAAGTCATTTGTATTGATATAAGTTTTAGTAAATTGATTAACCTGTACAATTTACTGAACCTGACCTGACGTGACCAGGGTGCTCCCATGATATTTCCCATTCCCGGGTGTGTGTCTATGAAACCGGGTTCGGCAACGCTTCCATTCTTTGGCATTTTGCCCGTCATTCTCAATGAGGAGGGAAAGGAATTAAGTGGACCTAACTCTGGATATTTGGCTTTTAAAGTAATTTTCCTGTTTTAAAATGGCTTTTATAACAGATTTTTAAATGTTAATCACGATTACTATGAATATACAGAACGCGTGGCCTTCTATTGCCAGAACTATTGATGGAAATCACGAACGCTTTGAAACAACTTATTTCCGAAAGTTTCCCAAATACTACTTCACTGGCGATGGTATTCATTGATATTCTGTGTAATCAATGAATTCTTATAAAACATATGTTTGATATATAGGAGCCGTTCGCGACAAAGACGGCTACTATTGGGTGACCGGACGTACGGATGATATGCTTAACGTTTCGGGACATCTTCTGTCCACAGCTGAGGTCGAGTCCGCTATTCTTGACAATAAGAGAGTGGCAGAAGTGGCCTCCGTTTCGATGCCTCACGCAATCAAAGGCGAAGCCATTTGTTGTTTTATTGTATTAAAAGCGCAACAAATCTATGATTTAGATCTGGAGACTGACATCAAACAACGAGGTCTACTATACATTAGATTGTATTTATAAAATATATTAAACTATTGGTTAACCCAACAGTTCGCGTAAAGATCGGTCCGTTGGCGACCCCTGAATGCATTTATTCAGTGAAAGCATTGCCCAAAACGAGATCGGGGAAAATAATGCGAAGAATATTGGCTAAAATAGCCAGAAATGACCGCGAATTGGGAGATCTGTCCACCATTTCCGACGAATCCATTATCGATGAACTCATTGCTATTCGTAACAGTAATTGAGTTCATGGCTGTCGAGGAATGGCTTGTTATTGAATTAGTTGTTCATTAATTTTATATTCTTGTAATCTATTTATGTTTTTAATTTATTATTACTTTATTTCAAAAATGAGTTATTTATTAGAAATTAAAACAAAAGTGAATAAATGACAAAATCAATAGAAAATGATTTATTAATTTTTAAATATAATTTTGTAAAACATTATTTTGAGAGTAATATCACAAACATTTGTAACTCAATACGAGTTTGTCTTTTTGATCAAAAACTAGATTTACAACAAATATATCATTTAAATCAACGACTATTACTATTAACAGCAAATATATAGTAAAACACAATAGGATTTAGAGGCACCTCAAGGACTGATAGGCCTGTTGTGTGGCAATGGGTTTGAGTTTCCAAAAGGGCAGATGCCGTCTGACGGCTGACTCCCAGTCGTGCGACACTTTCACGTCGTTTAATATACTGAACACTTGCGGCAAAAACAACACAATCCCTCTCTTCATGGCATCGCTGATCATATGGTCGATGGGAAACCTTCCGACCCGAAGGCCTTCACTCTTGGCCTTTAGAAGAGTCGCTCGATTGGACTTTCGGCGGAAGATATTCTTCTCGACTAATCCGCCCATTATATAGATATCATTGACATCGAAGTCAATCACGTCTTTGGCGTCGGGACTCAAGTAGACGAGTCGGTCGCGGCTGAAGAGCTCGTTATATGACTTGTCGTGGACTTTGAAGTTATCTCTGGTTTGCATTTGTGGTAAATATTGTCTCAAACACTGAAGAGTTATGCTATCTCTGGACATTTCGTTACAAACGTTAACATTGAATGTCTTGTCATTAGTGGCCGACAAACACGTGTTGAGACAGTATATTGTATACAAATCTCTGGCCAATCGGTGGCACTCATCGGTGGTCATCAGATCATCGAAACTAAGATCAATCACCAGATTCTGAACAGAAGTGGTCTTCGGCTGCAAATCGCCGGTTAAGGAGGAGATTGTGACCAAACGTGACGCTCGTCTCACCGATTGATGACATATTTGGCGCCGAAGACACTGTTTGGCCACTCGTGACGACAATCGGATCAATTGATGACAATTCATAGCAAAGACACAACTTATGAGTGATTGAATCAAAACAATAAACACAACGAAAACAACAAACAATTCATTCAAACTGTGTTTCAAAACAACTTTACACACAATTTATTGACATTTTTCATACGATTTTCGCACTAATTATTCACAAAATTCATTCATATATTGAACGCAATGTTTTACTATTGACTACAGTATAGGCTATTAAATAATACATTAATTATAATCAAGTATTAAATTGCATTAAAACACATATAAATTGCGTTAAATTTACTTAAAATTAAATAACATTAAATTTGTTATCATAAAAGTGGTGATAATTTGTGATTGAATGGATTGCAATGAATGGTAGTAATAGTGAGGCAATGGTTGAGTGGATTATTGCAAACGCGACAAACATTACACATATGTTTGCATTGAGTTTATAGTGTTTTTCACGATTTCTACGCTTTTATCGCGTTTTTAATCGCTGTTTGATTTGATTTTATACCTTTAATACCCGATTATCTTCTTCTATACCACCACTTCTTGGGATCAGTTGTTTGTCGTAAACCTCATCAACAAAAATGTCGACCGATTGGGAAGATGTGAAGCGATTGGCCGCCGATTTCCAGCGGACACAACTCAGCGAAACGCTGTTGAGGTTTGCCATTGATTTGTGACACTTGTGTCCACACATGTATTGACCACTTATTTACGGATCCGTTTGTTTGGCCGCAGACTCTCTGAACGGAATTGCGTGGAAATCATGAAGCGGTTGATCGAAATGAAGTTATTGGACGTAATCTTCACCAGCGATGGCAAGGAATACATAACTGAAGAGCATTTGTTGCGCGAGATTGAGGACGAGCTGTTCAGCGCCGGCGGTCGCATCAGTTTAACCGATTTGGTGACCGCTTTGAACGTGGATTACATCCAGATTGAGGCCAAAGCCAACCATCTGTCGCGGACGAGCGCCGGTGACGTGAGTCTCGTTTTGGGACAATTGGTTTCGCGTCAGTACAAGGACTCAATGGCTCAAGAAGTGGACCTTAAGCTACAGGAGACCGGAATTATCACAATCGCTGAACTCACCAAACAATACGATTTGAGCGCCGATTTCATTGACACCGTTATCGCCGAACGCTTGGGTACTATCATTAAAGGCAAAGCCGATGTCAACGATTCCCGCATTATTGTGACCAACGATTACTTATCGCAATACCAATCAAAGGTGACGGGAGTCCTGTCGGCCGTCACTCGACCCGTTCCTCTCAATACAGTCATCAATAGATATAAATTCTCAGAAAGTATTTTCAACAGTAAGTCATACCACAGATACGCTTGAGTTGTGTGTCTTATTCTGTCTGTCATTTTGAAAGGTATTGTCAACGAATTGATTGCATCGAAACGACTGTCGGGTTCACTGAGCGGACGGACATATATACCGGAAATCTATGCAAAAACCCAATTAGAATACATCGAGAATTTTTACAAACTGAACGGTTATTTAGATTATTCAACGCTTTCCCGGTTAGGCATCGCTAACGCGCAGACATATCTCCAGAAGCGGTTCGGCGATGAGTTGTGTTATTTGAATTCCTGTGCCGTCGGACAGATGTTGAACTTTCAGGTCGAGTCCTCTATAGAGGAGTGCATTTTGAACAATAGTTGGGTTGATTTGGTTCCCGTTATGCCCACAATCCTATCCGAAAGTGATGTCAATATTCTCATCACTAAAACTCTGGAACAGAATAAGAACTTAAGTGAACCGACAATTGTTTTGTGCGACACTATTGTCGTCAGCAAAGCATTTATTGCCAAAATTGAAGAAATATTTGTTCCGTTAATGAATAAAAAAGCCACAGAAGACCTGAATTCTGGTTTATTGTTAACCATATTTGCAGCACAAAAGGCCGCCAAACTTGACTCTATAGTCGACGACAAGAGAAGTGAATCGGGAGGCAAAGGCCAGAAGAAAGGCGCTAAAAAAGGAGGCGGTGGTGGAGGGGGTGGTGGCGGCGGCGGAGGCGCCGGTTCTCAGGGCCGAGAAGTGAAGACAAAGGCCGTGAAGAAGAAGTATAAGCCCGGCGCCAAAGTGACCGCAAAGGATGATTCCGACGACGAATCGCAAAATGAAATTACTTTTAAAAATGTGGACGAATTGATTGAAATCTTAGAGAAGAATATCTCCAATGCAGACGAATGTCCGCCAGAATTTATAAAAGACATCGCGCTATACATTGAGGCAACTCTTCGTGATAAATACGAGACAATCGCCAGAAATGTGTTCATCTCTTCTGCGTCCGCGTCGACAGCAAAGGCCAAGAAGTCTTTCGCTGACGTCCAGAAGAATATCAATCAAATCTATTGCAATATTTTGATGTTTGACAGAGGAATCAAAATCCTGACAAACGGTAAGAAAGAAACAAAAATTTTGATTGAATTGAATGAATGATTCATATGATTACACATTGAATGCGAGAATAATGTTATAAAATATGCAAAACAAAGCAGAAGTGGTTTTTTGAAATTGATTTAAATGTAATATTTATTGTGATTCGCAGATGAACTGCAGACACAGCTAACAAAGTACTTATTGCGTTCGTTGTGCTCAGAAGTTGTCAATCAATTAATCATTCATTTCTCGAGTGAAGACATATCCAGTATTGCAACTCCTGAGGTAAGCCACACACAGAAGTGAATTGAGAAATAAAACGCTACAATAAAAAACACAAAATATCTCATAAAAAACTCATAACAATTATCATATATTATGCGAACCGTATGTAAGCACCGGAATTAAAAACGGGTTTCTCTGTCTGTGTTTGCCTCCACTTCCCCATTAGGTTCGTCTGAAATTCATTTCAAAACTCGATCCTAACCTAAAGGAATGCATTACGCGATTGAATACATCACTGAACGCCAAATCAGTCGATGACTTCTGTAATGAATTGGAGACGACTTC